TGCATTTATCCCATCCAAGTGCAGTAAAGTTGATAATTTTATAAAACTTTCTGTTTTTGTGAAAACTTGTATCTGAACTGTAAATTATGCTTTTTACAGTAATTTTACAGTTTAATATGGTACTATAGACATTGACCTACCCTGCTCATATGGTATTCATTTTATTTGTGCAGGTCTTAAAAAGTCTTAAATTTGAGCTTAAAATCCTGCAGAAACCCTGTGTACAAGCCATGACCCTTATCCATCCTACAGTTGTTAACCTGGGCCACTGCATAAGGTACCAAATTAAGGGTTAATCGTTAACTTCTGATTGGTTAACAGGATGTTTTACCCATCCAACCAGCATGCATTTATCCCATCCAAGTGCACATACACATTTTGCTGTGGCACATGGGGAGCAATTGAGGGTTTGGTGCCTTGCTCAAGGTAACCTCAGCTGTGGGTATATAAGGTAGAGAGCATTATACATTCACTCCCATGTACAATTCCTACTGGTACTGAGACTTGAACCCATAACCTTTGGGTTACAAGTCCAGCGCTTTAACCATTAGGCAATGACTGCCCACCCCCCCCACAACTTGTAGGTCATATTTGATTCATTCTGCTAGTACTATCTGCTTAAATGGGGAAATATTTAGTTGCAAGCTGGGCAGTTGTGGCCTAATGGTTGGAGTCGGACTTGTAACCTGAAGGTTGCAGGTTTGAGTCTCATGTCCGTCTCACTTGTTCCATCAATGTGCTAAAAAGCACTATGGGCACCTATTCTGCATTTACTTATCTCATTTTTACATGAATCAAACAAATATCTTTTAAGTCAGGTCATGTTAAACATGAAGGTTAATATATATACAGTATATATATATACACACACAGTATATACCTACATAAATCACATTATTTAGAACACAGCCTGGTCATATGTGTCAAATGTACAAAAATTCTCTATGGGAACCATACTTTTTGCCAAATATCCAGAGACTAATATTATTGTTAGGCCCTACTTTTAATTTAAAAAAAAAAAAAGAAAAGAAAAGAAAGAAAA